CCGAGACTGACACACACACACACACACACTGATTCTGTCGAGGTTGTATATGAATATGTTGCTTTGTGAAAGTCTCGCCTTTTGACCCTTTTAATATAACAGCTAAGCTGAAATAAACATGTCAGTAAAAACTCACAACAAGGATGAAAGCTCGAAGAAAAACACACATGCACCCTGCAGGAAAAGGCAAATCAGCTGATGATGCTGACTGATGCAGCATCTCCAGACAGAAAGACAAACAATGACTCTGTGGTATGGTTCAGTTATATTAATGCAAGCATTCTTTAACATCATTACCTGATAAAGACCTTAATGTTTGGAAACTAAAAGACTTAGTTGACACCTAGTGCTTGGATGGAATTTGACCATGAAATGTGTGCGTCTGTGTGTGTGTGTGTGTGTGTGTGTGTGTGTGTGTGTGTGTGTGTGTGTGTGTGTGTGTGTGTGTGTGTGTGTGTGTGTACCTGGTAGTACATCCTGATTTGTCTGGTGAGAACGGTGAGGTTGTGGAGGCGGAGTGACACGTCATTGTTCACATTCTTGTTCAGCCTCTGATTGGTTGGGCTGGGGTCACTATGGAGACACAAACACAGACAACAAGAGCGGTTCAGATTGACATTAATTGTGGCTTTTTAAGACAAAGATCATTCCACACACACACACACACACACACATAACACACACACCCCAGTTTCAGGGTAACTATTGTGCTGCAGAAGGATTTATGTACACATACACACACATCTGTGCCAGACTGATTTGCATATGAATGAGGTGGGGGGGGGAACGATGTCTGGCTGACCTACTATGACATCACTATGATGTCAGCGCTCAGTTCAGGCTAGAAAACAGACTTTGTTATTGATGACGGGATAAAGCCAGGTAGACTGAAGAGTCTCACAGTTTAAGATACAAACTTTAAAACTGCAACACAACCTTCATGTTTGTGTTTGTAAAGGTCACCACTCTCTCTATAAATCACTCTGGTCCTGTTGTTCTCAGTGCCTTCAGGTCTATTGACAGTCAAACAAGATGTCTTTGCACTCTGACACCTCAGGTCCCCCCCACAAAGGCCAAATGTTAAAATCTGAATCATTTTGCTCTTTTTACACCTACATTATTTTATTTTAATCCTAGATCTTATAATGTAGACTGGAGCTAGGTGAAACATACATTTTATTAATTGAGTTGACTGGTCAATCCACAGAAACTGAATGATCCTCACAGAAGCTTTAACTTGGCTAATTGTTGAATGAGCCTGCTGCCACCACTCCCCTGATCACTTGAGGTTTATATTTACGCACAGATCCCGCAATGAGTTTTTTGCTCAACATTAAGAGAAAAAAACGAACAGAGGACCCATATGAAGTTAGTCTAAGGGTGTCACTGCTAAAAACATCCGTAACATTTCTTTAATCCATCATCTCAGCATAAACTGATCAAAAGTTGAAGATGGGTGTGGTGTGAAAAATATCTCAGATTTTCTTCTTAGGGCAGATATCTCTGAGTCGTGTCTGACACTAATCGGATACCACAACTTTTCATTTTCCATATTTGCTTGCACAATTTAAATGTAATACAATGGTTACCATGGGTCACTTTACAAACACAATAACATTTCTCTGTGCTCATGAGTGTCGAGGTTTTGTCTGCTCTGCTGGTTTATTCTTCTGGTCTTGATTTTTGGTCATCTAATCCGTTTTAATTGTGCTCTCGACATCATTGTAAATGATTACTCAAGAATAAATAAAGGTTGAATGAATGAATTCTCAGTGACAGGATTTAGCCAGCTCCGAAATATGGAGATGAACTCAGTTAGCTTGATTTAATTACATCATGTACTGTGGTTCAGTCAGGCGTCACTCTAAACTGAAACTTCTATAATTAGGACTTACATCTATAATTTACACATTTTTCACACACTTACACGACTACAATGTGAACTTTCACTACGACCATTTGAACTGAACTGAACACCTAAACTTGGACTGTGGCAGAGTGTTACACTCTCAGGGTTACGTTTCGGTCAAAGTGACAGAGAATAACTTGTTCTGCTTCTTTAACTTCCACTTTTTCCACAAACTATCTTTGCTAACGTCTCCTAAGTTTACTCCCTAAAAGCTGCAATCATTTCTGTCAGCAGTAAAACTGAGATTCAACTATCAAACTCAACTCAGCACTTTGACAATTCTTTACTCCCTTCAGGATTTTAAAATCTACCTTTAAATTAAACTACACTTTGTACTGCATTTATTTCAACTTCAGCTTTCTTCAGTCTTTCGATCACATTTCTAATGTTTCAGCTGCAAATGATCAACAGCAGGTACAGTTCAGATATTATTCCTCCCTCGTCAACATGCCAATTATTGAAACAGTAAATTAAAGATGCACACATGAAACTTTAATATCCCCCCACCCTTCAGAATTATTTTTGGTGAGGTCAATGATACGTTTACAGTCTGACTGATTTACCAACTGTCTCCTCTCTGCTCTCCTTCTGGCCTCCTCCTCTGTAACCCACTTTCCAATAAACCCCTAACCAGGATCTTATCAAACCCCCCCCCCCCCCACCCCCACCCTGCTGTCAGCCCAGTCTACATTCAGGGTGCGGAGAACAATAGGTCGATCGTCATTGTTTCAGAAGACAATAAGTGACATGTGAACATGTGGTGTGATTGGGGACAGCGGGTCGTCTGGGTGGGACGGGGTTCACATTCCACATTAGTAGGTACAGTATGTGTCACTATTATCAATGAGGACAGATTTACTGTTCTGTGGTCCAAATGCTGCATCCTGGATAAGCAAGATAATAACATGTTTCATTGTCAACAAATCCCGTGAATAGGATGGAAAACAACAATATGTGTAACATTTTATCTGGGCTTAGCAACAATAACATTTGTAATGCTGCACATAGTTTCCTCTAAAAGTAGTCCTCAACAACAGCACCTTTTGGAGCTTTCGTTGACACCTCTAATGCTATGTTGTTTATTAAATGTCTGGACCTATTCCAAATCTAAAGCCATGTAAGGAATTAAAGTGAAGCCAATGTTTGCCTTGAGCTGACTTCCTGGGAGAAGAATCATTTTTGGAGTATGCACATTAACTGAGTTAACTGGGCGACAGTAGATCTGTCTGTAGGGATTTGGGTTGGGCACCATAGGGTTGCCGGTCAGCGCCAGATCGCTTCCTGTGTACTGCCGTGGTGCCCTTGAGCAAGGCACTGAACCCTCACAAGCTCAGGAGCGCTCCCTGTAGGCAGCCCCCCCCCTCACTCTGACATCTCTCCATTGATGCATGTCCACAGTTCCTGTTTGTGCATGTGTGTATTTCAGGTCCTATATGTGTGAATAGCATGTCCTTCAATAACAGAGTGTACACTTTAATTTCCCCCTCAGGGTTTAATAAAGTACATCACATTTAAAAAGACTAATCACAGCGTGTAATCTGCAGGTTTTCATACTCCTCAAGGTAGGTATGAAAACTGAATGGTGTCATGTTATGGCTTCTGGAAGCTACCTTCTCTAAAAACTGTGTCTGGATTAACTTCACTGGCTCCTTCATCAGGTTAAAGTTAACCGGTTTCATGACCTTTTAGCTAGAATCAGTATGGCTCAGTGGTAATTCCTGCATGGACACAGCCGACCAGCGACCCGTCTGAGTAGTGGAGCACCTTTAAGTCTGTCTCAATTGAGTGACATTTGTGATATCTGCAGCAACAGGTAAAATGTACACATGCTGTGTTGGAAAGCATTGCTTGTATAAATGAGATTATTTTTCTTATAAATTGGGATTTATTCAGACTTGTGTTTATCTGAAGATCATATCCCCGTTATGACGGATTTGTGATTGTAACAGTGCAGCCCCCACCTGGGTACAAAAGGGTCGGGTTGCTTAGAGTTTGTTGAGTTGTCGTGGGTTATGTCACACTTTTCCCAGCATGGTCGCATCACAAGAAATAACTTCTTTTGAATTGCTTTGTCTCATATATTGTGCCTGCTGAAATGAACATCCTGCTCTGCTCTCCTCTGTCGATTCTCTCTGTGCACTACCAGCTTCTTCATTTCTTCTTCTGGGTGATCCAGTCACTTCATAGCCACTCCTCCTTCCTTCTCATCTATCTGACTTGATGCAGACTTCAGCAGCAGCACATCTGGCTGCGACGTTTACAGCCTGAAACCAGCGAGTCAGGATGTGGTCGCGACATCTCACACACAGGAAGCTCTAGATGAACTCAGGTACCGCTCGCGTACTCAGCCCAGACACATTAAAAAACACACACACCATAAGAACTTCTCTGACTCATGCAAATAAAACTCTCACTCCCCCTTTGTAGTGTGGTACCTACATGTGTGTCATGATCTTGTGCAGGAAGACGCCGTCCACCAGCTCCATGAACATGTTGACCCGCTCCTCTGAGCCGGCATTGTCACACGAGCCCAGAGGACCCAACGTCCCGACCTGCAGGCAAGAAGGAGAGGTTCAATACATCTACCCAAAAAGTAATGAGAGAAAACTTCACAGACGTGTTTCACAATCAAGATTTATAAGTCTGTCCAGTTAATCTACTGGCTGTCTTCCAGGGTTGTGATCTTTTTTTCACACTTTCAATGGACAGTGTTTCCTTGTTGAGATGCAGAAGGAATAGAGTAACACAAATGGTTAATTTAATGCTAAAAAAAAGGAGTCATTTGAAAAAACCTTCAGCTAAAATGTCTATTTCTTTCTAAGAATGAGGACTGTGGATTTTGTCCCTCCATTAATTACATATAAATCACTTCTTTAAGAGACATCTTTTTGCAAGTATGCAAAGGAAACAAAACAGCATATTCAGCACTTTTACAACCTTTTATTTTTTCAGGGGGGTTTTCAGAGTCTCATTATTTCTATTTTGGAGAACGCCCTGCTCCTACTCACAGAGTAGTGACCATAATATGTAGAGAGACACAGCTGGAAGCTGCCCAGTAAAGCCACAGACGGATCGGCTGCCCACTGGAGCAACACCACCGAGGCAAAAGGGGATTAAAGGCCTCGCCAAAGGGGAACACCACTCTCTTTGATTTTCTTTCCCGGAACATATCCCTAAAGTCGGGTTCAGATATTTTAACAAAACTTCCTGGTTTAAAAAAAAACAAAACACATTTTATCGAACTTGAATTGAAACAGAATGAGATTCAGGGGAACAACCGGTCTGGTGAAAGTTGGCCTTGTGTGGCCTTTCTCCTCTGGGGTGATTGTGTTTGTGTGTCTAACAAGGGCAGGAAAAAATGTCGTTGAACGCTAGGGGTCAAAAGGATGTGAAGTGACCGGGCAGCAGGAAGCAGCACAACGTTATTAAGCTGCTGACGGCTCTGCTGCTCGTCACAGTCTGAGCTGAAGGCTTTTATTAGTAAACAGGTAGATATGAATGAGTCCAACATTAAACTAGACACACTCTAATATCTACAACAGAAGGGTGCCACAGGGTGTAATTATTACTAGTCGATTTTACAATGTACTTTACAGACGATTTTAATGTTTTATTCTGTATGCTGAATGCTATTCAGAAGTTTTAAGCATTTGTTTAGTGACTTTTCAACCCTTACCCTGGTCAGTCCATGACATGTACATTGTTATGAATATATTCAGCTTTCAGTATTATTAAACCACCAATACTCTGGAGATAGTTGAATTAGAATAAACTTTCATTTTGTGCAGCTCTGGTTTACTTTTAATGTTGTTAAGTACATTTCAACACACAGGAAAAAAGCTACAAACAAAAAATATATTATTTAAATCATTAAAGCGTCTTTTACATGAATGTGTGCATTGAATCAGGATGTAGGATGTATACAGTGGGTTTGAAGATGCTACTTTGCTCTAAATATGTTGTATCCATTTATTTGTATGATTTATTTTTTTAAATCAGCTGCAGGGATGTTTTTGTTGATGGTGATAGTTACTGTTTATAAACAACATCTTAACTTTGTACACAAAGCAAAAGAGCCACAAACATGAACATTTCTGAGTGTGTGTGTGAGAGTGTGTGTGTGTGAGAAAGAGAAAGAGAGAGAGAGAGAGAGGGAGAGGGGGGGGTTACCATGTACATCAACATTTTAAAGCAATAGATAGATGACAAAGAAAAGGTAAAGAAGCTGTAACCACTGAAGCGGAGAATAAACTTCCGCTGTAAGAATGACAGAAATAAATCTATCAGAGAGTCACTGAGACACACTGGATCGATTAATCGATAGCGTTCATTTCTCCTGACACATACATGTCACAGTGTGAAGTGTCAGGGTGGGGGGTTAAATGTGAAAGTGATGTAACACGTGTAGACTAAAACACAGAGAGGGGTCAGCAGCTCACCCACACCACCAGCGGAGACTCCATGAAAGTGGCCAACAACTCGGACAGAGTCACATCCATGGTTGTTCCGATCCCGCTTACAGATCACCAACAAATCATCGATCCACCGGTTAATCGATCCCCACAGCAGGCTGGACAGAACAAAAGCCCCCCCCCCCTCCTCCTCCTGCAGGAGCTCTCTCCCACACCACTATTGTCCCGCGTTGTCCCGTTTCCCTAAACACAAAGTTTAGGTTTAGAAAACACTTTTTAATGAATAAAAACTAATCGAAATAGTCCAGCTGACGCCCACCTGCACACGGGGGTCCCCTCCCCTAAGAAAGCGCCTTAATATCCAGTTTATTTATCCGGCTGAAGGAAAAACACTTGATCCAAACTTCGCAGGACAGTTGTTCGCGTTACCAAGGATACAAGACTCGGAGCGTAAAGCGCAGAAGCCGCCGTAAAATCCAAAGTGTAATGTACTCCAAGTAGGAAAAAAAAGTTTAAAAAAACATCAGAGAGGGAAGCAAGAATCTTAAAAATAGTTGTTTCCGTTGTTTGCTACATCCCCAGCACGCCTCAATACCTTCCAGCTCTCCCTCTCTCCATCAACCTGTCGGTGAAACCGTCAGAGGCATCGCGGCGTCACAGACAGGAGAGCTGACCAATCCGCTTCTGCTACAAGCGGAGATCCCGCCCCCTTGCGATAAATTGACCAATTACAGTGCAGAACGGCAGGACGTTTCCTCTGAGTCTGACGTCACCAGCCAACACATTGAACTGACCAAAGAGTCTATATGGAACAAGATTAAACCTCCATAGACGGGAATTAACGTCGAAAACTTTTTTTTTTTTTTTTGTAATTAGTGAAATGTTATTATTTATAAAATGAACCTAGGATTAAATAATCAAAATAATATAATGACGATTGGTTTTATGAGCCTGATGTTTTCTTTTTCCTGTGTTTACTTTTCCTCGCCTACTTACAGATATTAAAAGTGAAGACCACCTTCTTGATATTTGAAATTATTAAATGTAGCACAAGATACAAATAATAAAGGACAAATATTGTTTATATGATGGACAATTAATATCGGGACTAGATTCACATATTATGCATGAATAACTGTACAAATACAAGAAGTAAAACATATTTGAGAGACACTAATATGAAAATAATGCAGATTATGAGATATAAACTTACATAGTCTTGCAAATTAACTGTAAGGCATCAAGTTGTGACTTTACTGCAATGAGCTTTAAAACTTTTAAGGATAAAATTAACCCTCTTGAGCTTTTGTTTTTATTCTGATTCTAAAAAAAGCAGCTGTCTCCTACCTTCTGACATTCACACAGTGATTAAATGCTGCCTAACATATTTGTATGGCTTGTTATTCTTCTTACCATTTTTTGTTTTTTAGCAGACTTCACAATGTCCTCTCTTTGAGCTGATTTGAGCAGAATAGTTAGATTCATTAGTGAACTTTCCTTTAAACCAACGCACACACGGGTTACGGGTAGTCCTCTTGTTTCGCCTTGAGACTCTCTGACTGCTCTTCAAACAGGTCGAAAAGGAAACCAAAGATCAGCTCAGATCAAAGAGCACAAAGGCCAAATGCAAAACAGCAGCAACTGACACAGAACAGCGTCCATCAAACACTCAGCGATTTAATGATACAAAATCTAATTAATGAAGATGTTTTAAGTATTTTGATGCTGATTTCATTCATAAATCTGTTTCTTTAGAAGACTCTGCACACGTCCAGATTTTAACTTAGATTCTGCATGATTAAACAATAGATTTACAGTCAATGGATGAAACAGGAAACAGCTTTATGTCGAGAAGCGAAGCAGACCAAACGTACAGTCAAACAAAGAGTTTAAATAAAAGATAAACTACGTTTTTCTGTTTCCTCCTCATCCAAAACAAAGTGTTTGTGCAAATAGAAGTTATTTTGTTGAAGAATAATCTAAAGGAGGATACTTCATGGCAATTCATTTTATTTCTAATTTGAAGATTAGACGTGGCACAAATTATTTAAAGAGCAGTGACATCTTGTGGCCTTTCCCTGTTACTACACCTATGACCAGATCACGTTTGTAGAAGCTTCTGTTAAAAGTTTTTAAAGTGATACATGTCACAACAATGAGCCATAAACTGAAGTTATATAAAGAGTATTATATTGTTAATTAATTAGTGTCGAATTTGAATGGTTATTACAAGAATCTCCAGCATCTTTACTGGATCATTTTACTGTAACTTACTGTACAGTGTTTTACCATTTTTTTAAATACATTCTTTAAAAAGGTTTCTACATTTGTAAGTAAAACTATTTATAAAAAGGCTTTTTACAAGTCAGTTTTTCTAAATGTCTGATGTATACACAAATAAATGTAGATCAAGAAAAAGTATTTGACTTTATTCTGAACATTTTGATTTTATTCTCAAAATGCAAAAAAAACAAAAGTAGTAATATGTTTAAATATTTTAAGTTTTAAGTCAAACTCATTATTTTCAGTGTCTGTCTCTTTGGCATCATCAATATGAATTTATTGTAGTAATAATATGGACTAAACCAGTGGTTCTCAACTGGTGGGTCTGGACCCAAAAGTGGGTCGCAGAGTTATTTTCCTATATTATTATTGTCTTATTTTCTCATCTTGAATTTTAACATTTGAACCTTACCTCGTGTGTTTCTTCTTTTTAGATGAATGATAGTTTCCTCCTTTTATTCAGTTCTTTATTTATGACATATTTTAATGTGTGCATGGATGAGGGGTCTTATTGTTGCTTATTGATTTGTTTTTGTGAATCACATTGTGCTACATTATTATTGTATGGAAAGAGCTGAACAAATAAAGTTTGATTGATTGATATCATGCTAATTTACACCTCACATTCACCAAATATTTCACACAGCTTTTGTAACTTCAGTATCTTATAGTTGGACAGGTTTCTTGGCCTGTTGCTATGAGAAAAATAAATGAATAAGTCAGAGTCGTTTTATATCAATCATCTATTTATTTATTCATTGTGAATATTCATACAAAAAGCAGATTTTCTCAGGAAAAAGTGATGTCTCATAAACACAAAGTGGTGTCAATTAACTTTACATTCAACACAGTTAAATCCACTTAGCCACGCCCCCTCTTCCTCCTGGACCAATGGCAGGGAGGCAAGGGAGGTGAAACCTGCCATCCTATTGGTGCATTCTGGACTTCATAAATCTATTTTTATTATAACAAATATATAAAGGCTCTACCCAGTGATAACAGTGATATGGTGTCAGGTCTACTTCAGGTCACAATAATAATACTTCACCGTCTACACACACACACACACACACACACACACACACACACACACACACACACACACACACACACACACACACACACACACACACACACACACACACACACACACACACACACACACACACACACACACACACACACACACACACACACACACACACACACACACACACACACACACACACACACACACACACACACACACACACACACACACACACACACACACACAATATAATAAATTCAGCATCATGTGTTCACTAAAAACTACAACTCTCACATTTTCCCGCCCCGCCCCTCAGGAGTCATTTCTACTCAGATGTGATCAGATAGGACAAAAAGTTGACCGTAGATCGTATGTCGTACGTCAGTCAGAAAAAAAAAGAATCTGAAATATCAAGTGCTGTGTCCTTTATTTTAGTGTTAACTCATCACACTCACACAGGGTCCATTTGTCTTTAGTGTCACACTCAAGGGGAGGGCATCAAAGGTTTTTCAAACAGATAAATGTCACACTCAGTGGTTTGGGCTGCGAGTCCTGTACTTGTAGCTAATCTGACAAACGTTCCAGATTTATCAGAAGCTAAAAGACGACAGACAATCTGCAGGTACGTCTGGTCATATTTCAAGGAAAAACAACAACATTGACGACCTATTAGGCACCACAGAGACAGTTGTTATGAGCAACTAACCACTTCCTAGCTGACTGTAAATCAAGCTCAATTCTTATCTAACATGGCTTGGCTTTAAATGTGTTGTGTTGATGTCTTACATTGCGTATGACATATGACAAATGTCTGCCATCTGCATGTAAAAAGTAGACGAAGTATTTTCTTTTGACCGCTTTTCCATTTTTCACTGATGTAAGCTAGCCAGTGGGAAAGCGCTAACATTAGCCGTCTTGTAGCAGGAGCTAACCGGTTATCAAATATGTTGCTTCATCTAAATGGATGTATCTATCATGGTATCACTCATTGCATGATGACGACTGTTTTGAAGGCACAAGTTCAGCGTTTTAGTTGCCGCCATGTTTTTGGCATTAGAGGGGAACTATGTTTAGGCAAGAGGGTTGAATTCAGTGCAGCAATGGGTTAGCAAATGCTAACGTTTTCTGAGTTTTCCAGTACAAGCTCAAGCAACGCGTTTCCTGCTGAATGTGTTTCTGATTGTAGTTGTTACTGATCAGAATGATTTATTTGTTAAACATGAGCAGCTAAAAGAGAGAGCTGGTAGAACATATTGAACTCAGTGACCAGGTGCCTGCAGGTGAGTAAAACAAATTGTGTAACCTAAAACAACCAGTCGTCTTAACACCGGAGTGACACGCACGGGGCCATCACAAATAAATGTATGACACGCACTGCACGAGCTGACAAGCAGACATCAGTACCTGGTCATTAGTGCTTCATTATAACATATTCGTTATGTCACTCATTGAAAAACTGAAGTTGTACAGAGTTGTTTTTGTTAGAATATTAAACCGCTCAACATGACGGATTATTTTTCAGTTATTTGCAGGAAAAATCTCCAAAAGGCACCGACATCACAAACAGCTGAGGTTAAGTTCAGTGACTGAATTAGCAGAGGTGATACCTAGCAGACAGCTAGCAGCTCCCACCTGTCAATCAAAAAGGCCACACCCCTAATTATGCATAATTATAGCCTTAATATAAATTAAACAGAGGTGGTTAACAAAATCAAACCCCTGTGCATTTGTCCTGTGTACAGGTTCTTTAGAATCAGGCTGTAGGAACGTTAATATGGAGCTTGATGGGGATTGACTCACTTTGGGAGCCAGCCTCTTGTGGCCGTTTAAGCAACTGCAGTGAAACTTCTGTGCTGGCTTCTTTTCTGAGCCTTTGAGCATGCTTCTTTGTTTAACCTCGAAATATGACCTGAAGTCATTCAGAGTTTTGCCATTTAAAAAAAAATATATATTTGCCTGCTGAACAATCTGGACATGGTGATATCGTAACCTTTGTCAGATTCACCTACGTTTACTCCTTACAACATTGAACACAGCAGTATGACATGGTCCATTTTAACAGCATTCGATTTGCGCTCCCGTGAGCTTAATATCAGAGGAAAATGGCCGCCTTGTGTTTCTGATAAATAGTGTTCAATAAACAGGAGAGTCAGTCAGTCACACAGTCAGTCAGAGTTCAGAAGGCTGCAGAGCTTCAGGCCATTAATGACCCTCACTCCTCATTAAAAGCACTGTGGGCATACTTCAGAGAAAGTGTGTGTGTGTTCTTAATCGCAGTACATGTGGCAGCT